TCCTTCACATAAAACCATGAAGTATTTCTGTAACATGGACAGATACAGCTACCTTAGGCTCTTTCTGTATTTTCTGAGTGATGTGAAATGTGGGATTTACCCTACCAAAACTCATTTCAGTCCCTGAAGTGACCCCTGAAGCCTTCACAAATGGAACGGGGCAGACGTGGAGAATAGGGAAGCAATAGAGCCAGAGAGGCATTACGTACGAGTGAGATTTCACTCCCTTCACAGTCTGTCTCTCTCTCTTTCTCCCTCTCTCTCCCCCTCTGTAACCCCTGTCTTTTTTGTTCCTACTTCATTCTCCCTTTATGCCGAGGAGTGCTAGCGGAATTGAAAAGACCGTTCACCCCGGCAGGCATGCTATTTTAAACAGAGACCAGTCTATTGAGACGCAGACCCTCCAGACAACTCTCCATTTCAGGGCTCAGCCGCCACTCCATCGGCTGCTCCTCGACACGGGGGCGCTCAGAGCCGCTGGTTTTCTCTCTCTCCGCTTGACTGGACTGCAGTGAAACTAGTCCATCAGCGACTGGGCCTACAGGAAATCACTCTGAATTCTGGACAGGCAGCAATTATTCACTGAGACAAAGGGCCACGTGCCACCTCGTCTTGCCAATCGATCACACACCTCCGTGGCAGGATATCGAATGTTCTGTTATGTGTGTGTGTGCATGTATAGGTGTGCTAAGACGTCTCTCAGCCAGCAGTGGTCGATACACTGACCCTGCGTCAAAGCCTGCACACACACACACACGCGCAGGCTTTGGCTGGGCAGCTAATTGTATTCCACACAGCCTATGTTTCCTCATACATTTCTCTGCTTGCCCCTGCAGATCAGGCCCTATCACCAGAGGGAAATTTAATTAGCAATTAGCTGCTGGCTATGCGATTTGATTAAAGTTACACACATAAGGAAAGGGCTTCTGGTCCACGAAGGGCAGCACCCATGCTAATGCTACTACGTTGTGAAGAGACTCCCAGCCTTCTATTGGACATTTCCCTGCAGTGTCCATGGAGACCATGGTCAGGGTGGAGCTGATTGGGTAGGTCACTGCCCACTTCTGTATTCAGAGAGGACAGCAAGAGACAGCAGGGCAAGGAGGTCAGACAGGTATGGATTGCTAACAAATAGGAGGGTAAAAATGCACCGACGCAACCTGAGGGTGGCAATTCAACTGTACCAAATTTGGAATGTCTGAATCTATTACATTTAAAGATGTCCAAGGTATCAGTGTTACAGCCAAAGTAGGCATATTTTAATGGATCAGGTATTGGCTACATCCTTTGTTTCTTGTTTTTCCTACTCTCTTTATGCCACTGTTGCTGTAGAAATTATGTGAACAAGCATTACCCATAACCTCCTGCAGAGAGGCATGCTTTCAGAAGATAACAAAGAGATCTAAACGTCAGCAGTGTGGGACTATTTTACAGTGGAATATGAAGGACGATGTTATGCTTCGAGTGTACTTCCAGCCATGAGCGCCACACTTTTCATTTATAAGTCGCAAATAGCTGAAAACAAAACTATCATGGAAACATTCTACTTTACCGGCCTAGTTTTACACCAAGGTTAGCAGAAACAGCGGGTTTAAAAATGAGAGAAAGGAGCAGGCGGCTGTGTGTGTTACAGCAATATGAAGTCATGGTGTATTCATGACACAAAAAATTGGGTATTTCACAAGTAGTCCACGAAAAAATTAAAATTTATCAGTTCTAAGTAGGCCTGTCACAATTATTACATAATTGCCAGATTGCAATCCTTTAAGCTGATGGAAATTCTTTTCCACAGCTTTTCTTACACTGCAACAAAAAGAGTGTGAATTCAATACATTTTCATCAGTTGGATTGAAGCAAATACTTGCAAGTAAATTAAAGCTGAAAACGCATTTACTGCGACACACCATAGGTCTTATGAAAACAACACAAGTAAGAAAACTCTTCTGACTGATGTTATAAAGCATTTAGAGGACAGCAGTGAAAAATGTTTGTTTATTTGAGCTTGAGCTGTTTCTGTCATCAATGTGGAGCCAGTAAATACTGGCAGCTTGGAAGTAAATCTGCTTAACAGCCAATATGGTCACTTTATGGTCATAAGTAATAGAATAGCATTATATCAGTTTTGTGCCGCCTCATCCAACGTCATTTCAAAATCTAAAATAATCAAAAAGTTTACAGTGTCACCAAATAAATGAACGCAGTGTATGATTTTTAAGTTATCATTTAACAAATGTCAAATCTGTCTAACAATTAGCATTAACTTAGCTAGCAGGATAACAGCTCTGCTCGTCACACAACATGTTCAGTTCTGGTTAACTAAAGCACTGACACAACTTTGTATGATAATGATTCAAATCTGAGGGAGGGAAGTCAAGCAAAGAAGTCTGTTGAAGAAACAGAAAGATGGAATTAAACCTGTTCTGTGGTGTTTAGATCTGTAGCCTGATCAGCTAACTTAACATTAGCTTAGCAAGCAGGCTACTGACCCAAACAATGCCACACAGCACAGTACTGGTTTGATTCTGACTAACTGGTGCTCTGATGAAACAAGTGTAGATAATAACAACTAATCTCTGTGAGAGCAAAAGTCGAGTGACTGGTGTTGGAGTGACAGAATCCAAAATCAAACCTGTTCTGTGGTGTTGAAAATGGAACATTTAGTTAAGCTAACAAGTGCTTAGTTAGCAGGCCAAACATGCCTCACAGCACAGTACAGGGTTGGTTTCACCTAACTGATGCTAAAATGGCACCCATTTAGATTATATCTAAGAAGGTACAATTTAGCGACTGGTGTTCGAGTGAAACAAAGCTGGAATAAAACCTGTTGTGGTGTTTGGGACTGTAGCATTTTGGCTAAGCTAACAATACAGTTAGCAGGTCAAATGTGTCGCACACCAAAGCAAAGGTTTTGTTTTAGCTTCAAAAACGACAACCATTTAGAGAATCTCTGAGAGCGCAAAGTCGAGAGAATGGTGAATGAAAGCGAAATCAAATATGTTCTGTGCTTTCTATCAGCACCTCCTATGAAGAGAAATGTGACACATTTGAAATACTGTGATCATTTTAAAATATTGCCATCATTATTAAATACAGCAGTATCCCTTATTAATGTTATACCACCGTATTTAAAAATGATGCTAGTTTTTAAAAATTATGACAGTATTTTAAATTTAGGACTCGTCAAATTTCTATTCCACATATTATTCCTAGAGAATTTCCCACCCTAGTCCAGAATTTCACATTATGCATATACTACAAATGCATTAACTTTACTATAGCATTTAGATCTAGTATATCTTTACTAAATGTTTTTATTAATTGTCTTTACTATTGGTTTTCCAGTCACATTAGTGTCTACAGTTCATTTTTAAAATTCTCAATTGGATCAAAACAATAAAATTTAGATGGATTTGATGATGCAGTGAATCATTTCCTAAGGAATCAAATCATTCTGAGCTCACAGATTTATACTCCTACTAACAGACATACAAAAGAGGTCTTCCACAGCATCCACTCTCTAGATCTTTCGTTCCGCAGCCACAGCGAGAGAGCCAGTGGAGTACATTTTGTCATGCATTGATATCGACAATCTCACATTTACAGATTTCAGCATCTTGGTTTATCTCCATTTAAAGTAACATGAGCCCTCTGGTGGAACAGCAGGAGATCAAATGTGATGTTTACTTTACCACCGTCATGGAGCCCAGAATCTGTGAAAATCTCACATTACTGAAAGGCAAACCACGGCTGCAGTCAGATTCAACATCATGATGTACAAAAGCATTCAGGAGGCCTTTGATGTAATCGTGCGCCACATGTCCATAAAGATATCAGTGGTGTAGATCTCACATGTTTGAGAAATGAGGTTCTTACTGAATGGCTGCCATCAGTTCTGAAATGTGCCTTTTTTAATTAAGTCAATTCAAATTTAATTACACATTTAATTACACATCACATTGGCCCAATTTAGCATAACGCTCACTCAGTTTCGTTCACAGTCATTTCTGAATGAGCTGCATTTGACGGACGTATCCGAAGAAGTAAACTGAAGGTCATGTGACATTGCGTGTTTGGGGAAGTGGTGGATTAGTGATTAGCTGTTAAGTGTGAGTAAACAGTCAGCTCAGTAAGAACATGTGAGGTGAAAACCTGGCCTGCCCTGCAGCATTAGAGTCCCATCTCAGGGTTTGTACTGTACAGAAACACAACCCTGACAGTGGGTGATAAAAAAACACACACATACAGCTCCACACTCCAAGACCATGGAGTTACCATGCAGGCATCTACCCTCAAGTGAGCCCTGTATTAAAGGAATGGTGAAAAATCAATTTACACAATTTTCTGCTTACTCTACACTCTGTCAATCAGCTGAGACATGTTTGCTGTCAAAATTCTTCTTCTTCAGTTTAGCACAGGAGAGTTACTAACAAACACTAAAAGGCAATAGTCACCCAAATCTTTTTCATAAATACTTCCCCAAAATGTCTCTCAACCTGTTTAAACTGATTCCAGATTTTCACTGAGACTTGCCGTGTGGTTTAGAGCACAGTATGACCTATTGCAAACTTGAATAAAATTTTTATTCCAGTGTTTGTTACCATAACATTAGCCTCATAGCTCCAGTGCTAAAGAAGCCAAATATGGAAATATCAGCCAGATCTTGGCTCTTTGACTACATGTGGGATTAGCGAAAAAAAAATGTGTAAATATTATTTTTTGCTGAACCATACATTGGCCATCAAAAGTTTGAGGACAACTTACCTTCTTTTGAAATTTGAATTTTCAAACTGTTAATTTTTTCAATTACGTTTCAATTAAGAATTTAAAATTAATTTTAACTAATCTGACTATTCTTCCAAGTTATGAAAAACCATCAAAGCATGCATGCTTATCTTTATTAAAACATTTTGAAAAGCCAGCTCTTCCTGAATGTGTAGTCATGGGATCTGCAGAGCAGTGGTGAGTTATGATAGTGTGGGTTTCTGTACTGGAACACTAACCTGCCCCACATAGACCAGCAGCCTGGCGTTCAGCGGGCTTTCGTCTGAACTCAGCCAGAATTCAGAGTTATCATCAGAGGCCACCGCAAACTGAAAGTCTCCTAGAAAAATGAGACAGAATGTACAGGAAACATATGAAGAAGATGATACTGACACTATCATAACTGAACCTAGTATTGTCAAAATGGTAACTTCATAAGGAAAGCAAAACCTTTCTTAACCTTAATTTAGATTTTGGTAAAGATATTTCATGTCAAGCAATGTTGGACCATTTCTAAATGTCTAATCCATTCAGGTCCATTCGTTATAAAAAGCTGATAGACACAATGTAAATGGCAGCTTTGTTTATGAAAAATTAACCAAAAAAGGGAAGAAAGATAGAAAGAGCATGACAGATGGTCTGACCTGTGTTATTCATCCTGTAGTTGCTCTTTTTGAGTGTACATGAGTGAAAGAAGAACTATATTTTGTACATAGACATGTGTTTGAGTGCAGATGTGAGAATGTAAAGTGTAAAGCTGTAATTTTGTCAGGCTCACCAACAATTTAAATGCACGGCAGCAGCGGCATTCACTAACTACATATAAGTCATGTGCAATGATTTAGAACACCCTATAAGAGCACAGGTATACACTCTATAAAACCATAAGTGTAAACTCCTTAAGAACATAAGTGCACACTCTATAAGAGCACAGGTATACACTCTTTAAGAGCACAGGTGTACATTCTATAAAAGCAGAGGTGTACACTCTTTAAGAGCACAGGTGTACATTCTATAAGAGCACAGGTGTACACTCTATAAAACCATAAGTGTAAACTCCTTAAGAACATAGGTGCACACTCTATAAGAGCACAGGTATACACTCTTTAAGAGCACAGGTGTACATTCTATAAAAGCAGAGGTGTACACTCTTTAAGAGCACAGGTGTACATTCTATAAGAGCACAGGTGTACACTCTTTAAGAGCACAGGTGTACATTCTATAAGAGCACAGGTGTACACTCTTTAAGAGCACAGGTGTACATTCTATAAGAGCACAGGTGTACACTCTTTAAGAGCACAGGTGTACATTCTATAAGAGCACAGGTGTACACTCTATAAAAGCAGAGGTGTACACTCTTTAAGAGCACAGGTGTACATTCTATAAGAGCACAGGTGTACACTCTATAAAAGCAGAGGTGTACACTCTTTAAGAGCACAGGTGTACACTCTTTAAGAGCACAGGTGTACATTCTATAAAAGCACAGGTGTACGCTCTATAAAAGCCTAGGTATACACTCTTTAAGGGCACAAGTGTACACTCTTTAAGAGCACAGGTGTACATTCTATAAGAGCACAGGTGTACACTGTTTAAGAGCACAGGTGTACACTCTTTAAGAGCACAGGTGTACACTCTTTAAGAGCACAGGTGTACACTCTTTAAGAGCACAGGTGAACATTCTATAAGAGCACAGGTGTACACTCTTCAAGAGCACAGGTGTACATTCTATAAGAGCACAGGTGTACACTCTATAAAAGCAGAGGTGTACACTCTTTAAGAGCACAGGTGTACATTCTATAGAGCACAGGTGTACACTCTATAAAACCATAAGTGTAAACTCCTTAAGAACATAGGTGCACACTCTATAAGAGCACAGGTATACACTCTTTAAGAGCACAGGTGTACATTCTATAAAAGCAGAGGTGTACACTCTTTAAGAGCACAGGTGTACATTCTATAAGAGCACAGGTGTACACTCTTTAAGAGCACAGGTGTACATTCTATAAGAGCACAGGTGTACACTCTTTAAGAGCACAGGTGTACATTCTATAAGAGCACAGGTGTACACTCTATAAAAGCAGAGGTGTACACTCTTTAAGAGTACAGGTGTACATTCTATAAGAGCACAGGTGTACACTCTTTAAGAGCACAGGTGTACATTCTATAAGAGCACAGGTGTACACTCTTTAAGAGCACAGGTGTACATTCTATAAGAGCACAGGTGTACACTCTATAAAAGCAGAGGTGTACACTCTTTAAGAGCACAGGTGTACATTCTATAAGAGCACAGGTGTACACTCTATAAAAGCAGAGGTGTACACTCTTTAAGAGCACAGGTGTATACTCTTTAAGAGCACAGGTGTACATTCTATAAAAGCACAGGTGTACGCTCTATAAAGCCTAGGTATACACTCTTTAAGGGCACAAGTGTACACTCTTTAAGAGCACAGGTGTACATTCTATAAGAGCACAGGTGTACACTGTTTAAGAGCACAGGTGTACACTCTTTAAGAGCACAGGTGTACACTCTTTAAGAGCACAGGTGAACATTCTATAAGAGCACAGGTGTACACTCTTTAAGAGCACAGGTGTACATTCTATAAGAGCACAGGTGTACACTCTATAAAAGCAGAGGTGTACACTCTTTAAGAGCACAGGTGTACATTCTATAAGAGCACAGGTGTACACTCTATAAAAGCAGAGGTGTACACTCTTTAAGAGCACAGGTGTACATTCTATAAGAGCACAGGTGTACACTCTTTAAGAGCACAGGTGTACATTCTATAAGAGCACAGGTGTACACTCTATAAAAGCAGAGGTGTACACTCTTTAAGAGCACAGGTGTACATTCTATAAGAGCACAGGTGTACACTCTATAAAAGCAGAGGTGTACACTCTTTAAGAGCACAGGTGTACATTCTATAAGAGCACAGGTGTACACTCTTTAAGAGCACAGGTGTACATTCTATAAGAGCACAGGTGTACACTCTATAAAAGCAGAGGTGTACACTCTTTAAGAGCACAGGTGTACATTCTATAAGAGCACAGGTGTACACTCTATAAAAGCAGAGGTGTACACTCTTTAAGAGCACAGGTGTACACTCTTTAAGAGCACAGGTGTACATTCTATAAAAGCACAGGTGTACGCTCTATAAAAGCCTAGGTATACACTCTTTAAGGGCACAAGTGTACACTCTTTAAGAGCACAGGTGTACATTCTATAAGAGCACAGGTGTACACTGTTTAAGAGCACAGGTGTACACTCTTTAAGAGCACAGGTGTACATTCTATAAAAGCAGAGGTGTACACTCTTTAAGAGCACCGGTGTACACACTGTAAGAGCACAGGTGTACACTCTATAAAAGCACAGGTGTACACTCTTTAAGACAACTTCTGTTCTGTTGAATGAGTGTGTGAATGGAGTGTGAGAGTGTGTGCAGTGTAGTGAAATGATTACCGTCTTTGTACGGATGAATGTAGCCAAAGATTCTCAAGCCATAGTTTTTCCATTTTGGAGCAACAGCAAGTTTCTTCACTATAGTTCTTGTCTGGGGAGGCAAGCAAGAATTAAATGACACTGACGGTTCTATTAATTCTCAGATTAATCGTGCAAGTACTGAAGTACTGAACCTGGTGTTATGAAAGATAGATGACTCTATCTAATAGCATGGTTTTACATTTTCTATTTAAAGAGAAATTCCAGGTTCTCAATGCGGTCTCAGACTTTTGGACAACAACATGTCTGTCGTTAAATTTCACTGAATATAATGTTTCAGAAAAGGAGATCACCAACACTGTCGTTATTCATTAAGGGATCGTCTAAACAGTGCATAACCAGGATGTCTTTTTAAGTTTTATTTCCCATGTATTTAGCTAAAAAAAATGGAAAATCATATAAAACCACAGGTAGTAAACAGAGTGGCTTCTCTTAACTGGGATTTGTAAGAGGTTTAAAAAAGACACTCTCTTTACCATAAGTGAATTTGCAAGATTTAGGCGGTTTAGACGATCCCTTAATGACAAAAGCGTTGGTGATATGCTTTTCCAAAATGTTCAGATATAACATTCAAGGCTTCTTTGCTATGTTTTTTAAATTTAGAACAGAAGCAATGGAACACTTGTGGTTGTGTGTTATCACAGATAACATCACGACTGTGATGATCTACCTATGACCACATCACAGCTGAGATGTTATTCATGATAACACACTCCCTCTCATGTTCTATTGTTTGAGCCCTCAGAGCTGTAATGAGAGGAGAGAGAGCGAGAGAGATTGGTTCACATTGATGGATCTGATAAAGGCTGTTATGTTTGATGCAGTGTTATTAGTGTCTCTCTTTCAGTCTCAGCTAAAACTAAACCTGCATAACAACTAGCATGTGTATGAATTCACACATCATAAAGCATAAATTCACCATCATAACTTTACTCACATGAGGGAACAGAGGAAAATGAAGATTCTTTCTGAGCTGAGAGACAGAGGAGCCACACCAGTCTTCAAAAACATGGAGGTTAGCCTGACCTTTAAACTGTGGAAAAAAGGAGGGAGAGAGAGAGAGTCACTACATTTGATAAGGCAGGAAACACTGATAACTGAGTAAATTGATAAATGAGTGGGCACACACAAAAAAAACAGAACTTTAAGAGCTGGAAGTTAAAAGAAAGTGAAAGGAGAAGTAGAAAAAGAAGAAACAGAGCTTGAGAGAGTTAGTGAGCTCTTAGGGGAGTAAGAACTCTGAGAACAGAAACCCTTTAAAATGACCGTCTCTGTGAAGTGTTTCCTGTTTGATCCATGCTGAGTCTCTCTGCATTATCAGTCTGATACTATCATGAGACAGATCAGTATAGAGAGACGGAGATAAACACAGGAGACAGAACGGCTGTGCTGTTAGCTTCTCATTCATCTCTGTACTGGGATATCAGGTAACTATCAGCTAACCTGCTGTAGAACCTGCACTATCCTCAGAAGAGGATACTAGCTTACTGAGTACTGCCCACTGCTGCAGTAACAGCCTCTACTCCTCTGAACAGGCTTTACACTAGAAGAAGTTGGAACACTGCTTTGGGGATTTGACTGCATTCGGCTACAAGAGCATTAGCGAGGTCAGATACTGATGTTGAAAGGTCAGTTGTGGATCACAACTTCCACTGCAATTTATCCCAAAGTTACTGGATAGAGCTTCATCACTCCAGAGAACACAGCTTCACTGCTCCACAGCTCAATACTGGGGGCTTTATACTCCTCTAGCTGACACTTGCCACTGGGCATGGTGACCTTAGGTCCATGTGCAGCTGCTCCAGAGCAACCCATTCTATTGAAAATGCCTTTCTATGGAGATGATACAAGATGTGTGTACATCTGAACATCTGTGTCAGCAATGAGTGCACCTTCAAGTAACTGAATTCACTAATTAGAAGAGGTGTTTGGATACATTTGGACAGACAGTGTACATACATGCACACAGACATATCCAGAGACAGTCAGAGACCACCTTACATTCAAATGTAAATGTATCAGTCAATCAAAACTATCAGTATTTGGTATAGTATTAATTTGTCCTCTCTTTACTTCTATGCACTCTACTGACACATTAACTCTTCTATCCTTCCAATCTTAAAACCAGTGAAATACACCTAAATCCTCCCAACTAAAGCTGCTCTCAAAGGAGTCACTGACATTAAGGCCCAGTCCTATTTCAGCCCTGGCCCTACCACTCAGCCCTTAGCCCTCCATTTTGCACCTTCATGTCTAGGGGTAGGGTGTCCTGATTTTTGTTGAGATAGAGGGGTTTGGCAAAGTGTTAGGACTACATGGCCCTCCAAATGGAGGTTTTTCTGAGGCAAATTCCAAAGGCAGTGTTATGAGGAAAAAAGAAAAACAGACAAGATGGCTGCGCAAGTGACCAAAGAAACCCACAAATGTGAATATTTTCTCCATCAAACATTATGGTAACCATTGAATTATCTTAGTTTAATGACATTTCAATGTATTATGGTCCTTTTCTTCATAACAAGCATAAAAAATCGCTGATACTATGCTAATGTCTTGGTAGCTAGCTGGCTACATTTCCCGTTCCACCTTAAATAGTCCAGCCTGAAGTGCCAGAATGTAACTGCTACATCATTTAAGGAGAAACAGGGAACATTTGAACAAGAAGCTGGCGATTAGCTGACTTCAGCTTCATATAACCAAAGAATTAGTTATTAATTATTTATTATCACCCACCCCCTCTTTGAAAGCATATGATGCTCTAAAATTAAATAAAGCCCAAAAGACTTTACCCTCCTCTGCTATCACTGCAGACTTGCAGGGGTGCCTACAGAGCACTGCTAGTAGCCTGTCAGTGAAGTAATGTTCTTTTTTATTTGAGGATTGTCCCATTTCGTAGGGGAATATTTAAACCATTAACCCTTGTAACTCAGTTCCAAGGGGCAGGGAGACACTCGAAAACAAGGGGTAGGGATAAAAATAAGAAATGGGATTGGGCCTAAGTCCCCCCTCTTAAAGAGACACTAACATTTACACAATCAATTACCCAACCACATCTTAGCTGACTTACAGATTTATTTCTTGAATCTATAATGGCTAAAAACAAAAATCCTAAGTAGATTAGATAAGTGAAACAAAACAGGAGTTGGGACTCCTAACAACTGTGTAAGACCTGGTAGACCACCAAAACTGTCCCCATCAGATAAACAGTACTTAAAGCTTTCCTTTTTGAGAAAGAGGAGAAAATCAAGCTCCACTGTTCCTTCAGATCTGAAAAAATCCACAGGTGTTTCTGTCCATCCTTCCACTGTGAGAAGACAACTCAACACTATGAGTCTGAAAGGATGTGTAGCTGTCAAAAAGCCCTTACTGAGAAAAAGAAATAGAAACAAAATTTGCACTAGAACACCGGAAGTGGACAGAGCCTCTAGATCTCAACTGAATGTGTTTGGGATTATTTGGATTGTTAGAAGCAGAAAATGCAACGAACTTCTATGACTGAACTTTGCTGGTGTGGCAAAATATCCCTGCAGATTTCTGTCAAAAACTGTCTCCTGAAAAGAGTGGGAGCTGTAATAAAGCAAAGGGTGAACACATTCAACTCTGAAAAAAAAAACGATGTTACATTGGGTTGATGAGGTTCCTGTGTAATATTCAATAAAATACATGTTTTCCGCTTTTTTCCTGACACTGAAAAATGAGTAGCTTGTACTTAATGGCTGTTTTGACTGGAAGTTGAATGAAATAAATGAAAGGGTATTCTCTGACTTTTGCACAGTACTGTACACACACACACACACACACACACACACACACATAGACACACAGCTGAAAAAGTGGCCCATAAACTTGAATGTCTGGGCTTTAGCTGAGCCTAGAGTCATCCTTGCAAAAGGCACCAACAAACAAAATGGCTGTGTGGCAAACAGCAGAGCGGCCTGAGCCCAGAGGCTACAGGGGAGTGTGAATATTTCGGGCCCAGTGCACAGCTCAACATTTCACCACACGCTTATTGATAGAGTTAGTCACAATTGATTAACATTAGCTAGCATGCCTGCAACTGCATCCATATGGGCTGGTCTAATGTCTTTCCAATGTCAATTAAGCCAAATCCAGTAACCTTGACTTTGCCTTTAGCTTCATGTATTTTATTTTGCAGCGCTTCACTTCACTCCCCTGCCCTGGGACTCGATTCTCTCTGACAGAGGAAGCCAGTGGCAGGGAGTTATTGTTTATTCTTTGTTGATAACTTGGCATTGATTCCTCTCTTTCCCTGTTGAGCTCCCCCCAAATGAAATCAATGAAAGAATATCAGACACACACTTCTTCAACACGCCACACTGTCCATAGCAGCAGACATGCACATCTCTCTCTCTCTCTATCTCTCTCTCTCTCTCTCTCTCTCTCTCTCTCTCTCTCTCTTTCTCTTTCTCTCTGCACTACATTAAGAGTCAGTATGCAGTGCTGGAGCCTCCTGCTCTATTTCTGTCCTATCTTTAACATGTCATCCCCTCGGGGACCACTGTGCCAGCCCTGGATTCCAGTGTCTGGGGAAATTAATGCTGCCAGCATACAAGAAGAGACAGAGCAAGCCACTATTTGTGTGCATACAAACATGAAGGCTTCATTACTTGCATAAAATATCATAGTGATTTTATTGCTACATAATACAATTGTGATATGCCTTGCAGCCATAATACATATACAGTGGTGCTTGAAAGTTTGTGAACCCTTTAGAATTCTCTATATTTTTGCATTAATTTGACCTAAAACTTCATCAGATTTTCACACAAGTCCTCATAGTAGATAAAAAGAATCAAATTAAACAAATGATGCAAAAATATTAGACTTGGTCATTTACTGATTGAGGAAAATGATCCAACAATACATCTGTGAATGGCAAAAGTATGTAGACCTTTAGGATTAGCAGATAATTTGAAGGTGAAATTAGAATCAGGTGTTTTCAATCAGTGGGATGGCAATCAGGTGTGAGTGACCACCCTGTTTTATATAAAGAAGAGGGATCTAACACAGTCTGATCTTCACAACGCATGTTTGTGGAAGAGTATCATGACACGAACAAAGGAGATTTCTGGGGACCTCAGAAGAAGAGCTGTTGATGCTCATCAGGCTGGAAAAGGTTACAAAACCATCTCTAAAGGGTTTGGGCCTAACCAATCAACAGTCAGACAGATTGTGTACAAATGGAGGAAATGCAAGACCATTGTTATGCTCCCCAGGAGTGGTCGACCGACAAAGATCACACCAAGAGCAAGATGTGTGATAGTCTGCGAGGTCACAAAGGTACCCAGGGTAACTTCTAAACAACTAAAGGCCTGTTTCACAGTGGCTAAGGTTAATGTTCATGAGTCCACCATCAGGAGAACACTAAACACCAATTGTGTGCGTTGCAGGTTTGCAAGGAGGAAGCCAGTGCTCTTCAAAAAGAATATTGCTGCCCATCTGCAATTTGCTAAAGATCACATGGATAAGCCAGAAGGCTTTTGGAACAATGTTTTGTGGACAGATGAGACCAAAATAGATCTTTTTGGATTAAATGAGAAGCGTTTTGTTTGGAGAAAGAAAAACACTGCATTCCAGCCTAAAACCTTATCCCATCTGTGAAACATGGTGGTGGTAGTATCATGGTTTGGGCCTGTTTTGCTGCATCTGGGCCAGGACGGTTTGCCACCATTGATGGAACAATGAACTCTGAATTAAAGCAGCAAATTCTAAAGGAAAATGTCAGGACATCTGTCCGTGATCTAAAAATTCAAGAGACTGTGTGTCCTGCAGCAAGACAACCTAAACACACTAGTAATTCTACCAAAGAATGGTTAGAGAAGAATGAAGTTAATGTTTTGTAATGGCCAAGTCAAAGTCCTGACCTTAATCGTATAGGAATGTTGTGGAAGGACCTGAAGCAAGCAGTTCATGGGAGGAAACCCACCAACATAAGAGTTGAAGCTGTTTTGTACAGATGAGTGGGCTAAAATTCCACCAAGCTGATGTGCCAGACTAATCAACAGTTACCAGAAA